TACAGAAAGGCTAGAGTTGGACTCCATCCCAAACGGTTTAATTACTGAAATACCAAGACAGTCCTGTACTGGCATGCCTCATGATTAGGACAGATTCACTTCACAAATTATAAAAACAGGCTAATGGCTAACCTCTAATACTGCATAACATTTTCTGAGACTAAGGAACATTCATACAACAGACTCTTCATTATAATCAGTCATTTTTCTAACACTGATAGAAGTTTTGGGTGAAAATTGTATTTAACATTTGGGGTAACGTTTACCCAAAATTTAGGAGTAAAACTAAGCCCTATATGTGATCTTTAAGGCTACAAAGCAATATAAATATACTCTTTGGAATATGCACAATTTTTTGAAAATTATACATAAAATATTATTAAGGGTGCGATGACTATGAAAACTCACACAGTATACAATGGGCCTGGGTGAAGTATTGGGATGGTAAAGTATTGGATGGTAAACTATTGAGATGGATATCCACCCTTCCTCGTGGATAAAAACTGGGAATCCCAAAGTCAACAATTTCTCCAGAAGACAAAAGAATCATAGTTAAAAAGCAAGAAACTGTTGAAATCACTTCATGTGTTTCCACAGCAATAAGCCATTATAGTAAGTCATCTAAAAGAAAAGAACCTAGAAGAAATGTAATACAGTACTACTGTCCAGGCCCTTGTTACCTACTTAAGACTATGTAGTATCTACTTGTGGCTTCCTTCTGAGTAAGGCAAAGAAAGAATAAGACAAACAACTACCTAAACAGTACATGAAATGTTATTTGTCCTATAATGCTACAAAATAAAGACATTCTTCACAAAATTAAAACATGTTTACCAAATGCTAACCAGTCAGAAGATTCTCTTCTCACACTGAATCAACAGTTTTAAATGAAGATAGAAGCAAAAATGTGACTAAGGAACTTAAGCATTACAGACTAAAGGTAAACAAGTTTTTAAAATGCTGTTCAGTTGTGCACTACATCATCCCTGTGTTTCAAATTACGTGACCTAATTGCCAGATTGACCACCTACCAACAACATGATGTTAGAGAAAACTGAATAAATTATGTTATAAACATTTCTACCCTCAATTGCCAAAAACATGAATCCTATATGTCTAGAGGCTACAGCTTTAAAAGAGCATAATATTGTTTTCACTACTTTAATTTTTGATAGCTACATGCTCTATACATCACTGGTGCAAAGCAACGGCTCAAAGACCAAATTTTAACACTGAAATACTGACTAAAGCCTTTTAAAAGCCAAACCCTTAGAAGAGCAGATACATCAAAAATATTTCCATAAAACTAGTCTTTCACTTTCAAAGTCAGTTATACTTGGGATCAAATTTTTGCTCTACCACATATAAAATTTAACTCTGCAATAAGAAGGTGGGCTATGTGGTTCTTTCAGTTATAAATTCTTCATCTGAAGAATAGGAAAAACCTATTCTATAGAACTGATATGTAGTTAACAGACTGCGTACAACATATTTTTCCTAGGACACTGCATGTATCAACTCCTAAATAAAGTTTTCTTACTTGACAGAATTAAAACATTTATATTTTTCCTTTTTTATTTTATGGGGCCCTTTCTGATTTAGAGAAGAATTTTTCTAATGATCTCTAAGGACCATTCTATTCTAAGGATTTCGAGGACCTCCAAATAGTCTAAGAACTATTTTAATACAGTCATAAGGTAAATAAAAACAGATTATTAACTTTACAATATAAATGAGAAATCAGACAATGACATCTCTGTGAAGTCAGTGCAAAAGTCTGAATCACTGCCATAAAGGCAAGTATGTAATTTCTCACAGTATTAGACGTAGTAAAAAAGTATCCTTCCTTTCCTTCAAACAAGGTAAAAAGTAAAAGTATTCCAAAGCTAGGTGGAACAACATTACTCTCCCTTGCAAGTAAAATATCCTGAAGCATAGGGTAGCCTGCAGCCACCAGGAGAGTACTCTAAATGTGAGATGATTTCACTCTCTTAGCCATGGTACCCCAAATGACATGGTACTATAGTAAATTTAAAAGCTAGTTTAGAAGCTATTCAAGGAAAAAGAATAGTGCACAATCTTTGTCTTCATCTCACTGACTAGTGTGTGCATGCATGACTGGAAATGCAGCCAATACAAAAGTATGGACTAGTATACTAGCACAGATTTTAAAGAAACACATTAGAACTCCAGTGTACACTTCTTTATCATTCAACTAACTTTACAGAAACAATTCTCATACAACACAGTCTACTGTTTGGTTCTCCATCTTACAGCTACAGCTCCTCCCATCCAACCCTTCACCTTCCACACCCACATGCATTTTTCTGCTGGGCATTACAGAAGGAATGTGCTATGTATGGGAAGTTGTGAAAGACTGCCACTGCTACGTTTCCTCATGCCTTGATGCTGAACAGGTGAGAAACACTACATGAAAGTGAGCCTTACCCATATCTTTGTTGCATTTGTAAATAAAACAAGCTCAAACCTCGAAAAACATATTTGGTTGGGAGAGTATGGTGATATCTAGATAGGAAACATAACTGTAAACAGAGAACAAGTGCCTCGTGGTATCACACTTTGCTAAAATAAGGCATACACTAGCTCAGTTTTTCAGAATGCATATGCTATTCCCCAGGAAAAGAAAGGTGCTGCCTTATACAGACTTTCTTTCAACTGTCAAAAGAAAATCCCAGAGAGACTCTAGCTGCCTAGCAAACAAGTCTGGGTTTACAGCACCAAACCTTTTGTTAAGCAACAACAAAATAATTTCCACGTTTTCTTCCTTTGACAAATATCCCAGAATAATTTACACAATGTTAGTGTCAAGTCAGACAGTTTTAGTACAAAGAAAATGTAACAAATATAGACTGTTAGTGAAACACTCTATTAAAAACTAGGGGATATGTGTAACATATGCCCTCACCTTGACAAAGAAGAGACTTATTCAAATCAGACAGGCTAAATTAAATTGAGAGAATAAGAAAGCAGAAAAAAATATATACCAATAAAACACCCATCTTCATACTCTGAACACTAAATTATTCTTTTAAAATTTAGTAAGTACTTCTTATTCATTTTAACCCCTGATTAACACATTCAGCGTGGGCTGGCAAGAATCCCTAACATTCAATCCTCTTGTCAGTAAGCCTGCACTTTAAAAAATAAACTGTAGATAAAGAAATCCTTTAACCTGAGAAAGATTCTTCTTGAACATTAAACATAAAGACAGTATCTGATGAAAATGACATGTTCATTTAGCCAAGTACTCATAGGCAAAAGTATAAAAGATGTTTAATTGCCCATGTGGGTGGCAGTGATAATACCTACTGCAAACTTTGAGATTTTTTTTAATGCTAGCAGTTTAATGCCTCCAAAGATTAAATTGCTAATTCCATATGAAAAGAAAAGTCAGAGTAAAGCTTCCTAAAATCTGTAACACTACAGCAGAATACATACACAATTGGCACTCTTTCTACAAGCTGGTATACCTCTTTCTTAACAAATGCCTCTGAATTTTGAAAGCTACTTAACCAAGAGCCATACTCCCAAAACTTCAACTATGAAGTTACTACAGAGATTCAAAAACCTAGCAACACTTGGGAATGGAATGTTATACAAAAGCAGAGGAAACACAATGATCAAAGTTACAAAATAATCAATATGTTCAATCAAAACATTTTGTATGACAGGCAGGCTTATACACACACACATCTATCTGTGGGGATAGGGTCTCTAGACAAGAAAATTGAATAGGGGTCTCTTTGGGTCTTCTAGCTAATTCTGACTAGAAGGAGTTAAAAACAAACTTTACTACACAGATTCCCCTGGGAAGCAGGTCAAAAATAAGGCTAGAAAAAGGGAAAAAAAAAAAAAAAAAAACAGACAAAGGAAGATACCACATAGCCTTGGGACATCCACCAAGAGACCAGAAAAAGAAATGACAGACAGGACACACAGAGAAAGCCAGGTGAAGAAATGATAAGCTTCCCCCATCTCCAATAAATGTAGGGGAAGCAAGAAAGACTAACTTTCAGGCAGTGTGTACTCACACCTATGCACTAACATATACATGTGTGTTCACTCTAGAGTTACTATATTATGCACTCTACGGTTATTGTAGAGTACAACAGATACCCACGCCCCCTTACTAACTCTAAGCTAACCAAGAATAAGGCACCCCCTGCCCACTAGCCACCCACACTAAAGATAAGGTCTTAAAAAGTAAGTCAAGGGTAATTAAACAAATGCAAAAAAGCTACACATAGACCACCAGAAGAAATGACCTTAGGCCAGATCCCCAGGAGCCAATCCAGTTATGGTAAGTTCTGGGTGAAGGGAAGAGAGAGACTCACACCCCAACACCTCCTTCCCTCATGAAAATAGCTGAGAACAAAGGGCCCGCAGGTCCTCCATCTTTCCTGACCCCCTTACCCTAATTTTCTTATCAAGCTAACTATCTTCTCCTTTCTCCCTCCTTCTGCTCTTTACAAATAAAGTGTCTTCCTTTTGTCCCTCTAATTTATTACTGGGGCGGAGTTACAATCCCAGTGGGCTGCTCAGACAACAGAGCGGGGAGGCTTGTCTGCTAGATACAACATATCTATCTATCTTTCTCCCAGCCTCTCTCTCCAGAATACACTCTAAGAAAAAGAGGATAAAAAATCCATTTAGATACAAATTCAGATCAAATCTATTAGATATGAATCAGATACAGGAAGGGCTGCAGTTCATTATGAGTCTCTACTTGAAATTCCTGAAATGCTACTACAAAACCTGTCTAACACCTTCTCTTCCTGGTGTTCTGACAAGTCACTGAAAACACATTTTACAAGCTCAGGGCAAGTTGTGGGATGAGGAATGCTATGTACAATTCGAAACTTGTCCCCGTCAGCCCCAAGCCTTCCTCCAGAGAAAAGAAGAGACTGAAACTCAGAGAATAAAAAAGTGGGGGAGGACAAAGGGACAAAGGGTGAATGTAAGGTGAATTTCATAATTACCTGAAATCCTCTCCCCTTTCGTCCTCTTCCCCCTCCGTCAGCTGGGTGGTAACTTCAGAATCCAACCAAAAGACACTGTCATCCCCTAAAGTGCTAGCCTCGCTGTCTGTCTCCATTTTGTATTAAAACGAATATAAACCTCAAGGCATGAACTGAAGAGCACCAACATTCAGCTGGCTGGGCTCTGCTAATGTACACTACTGGCAGTAGGTGACGGTGCTAGTTTCATGACAGCAGGGTGCAGACAGGAAATCCCTGATGCACACTCACTGCTTCTGACTGCGCACCTGTCACAGCTGGACCCTCCCACTGCCTTGGGCTCTGTGACCTACATAGCCAAAAGCAGAGACCAAATAAAGGTGACTTTTCATTCATTATTCATTTTGATAAGTATTTGTCTGTTCACCAAAAAAATTAGTTTAGTAGTTGAACACAGATATTATATGGCAATCTGAGACTTAAAGGCAAAGAGAAAACTAGCAAGGACAACCATAGCTAAAGGTCATATGGGTAAGGCTCAATGAAAGTCACAGACCTCATGGTTAAGGGGGAGCATGATTAAGGGATACTATGGAGGGTGTCTAAGGGCCTGCCAGCTTCATGCATTCTAATGTCACACCTATCATCCCTTCACCACAGCAATACTCCCACATACACCTTTGCTCAGGGATCCAAACTCACACAGAAAAGCCAAGGCAGGCTATAGTCCGTTAACAAAAAGTGTCGTCAGTTGAAAGACACTGACAATTACACCAAATAAAAACATGCAAAAACTTTATATATATTTAAGCTGCAAATGTCCATGATGGCAATAAAATGACTTACTGGAAAATGAGTGAAAAGTATAGCATCTATGACACTGTCAACAGTACACATGTGACTCAGAAAACAGCCATGCTGGTTCCAACCACTGACCTGTCAGCCAGATGGTCATAGTTAATTATTTTCTAGAGAAGCAACTGTACAGCATTGACTTTCCATTAAATCTGACCAGAGTTAAAAAAGAAAAAAGAATCAAAGCGGAGCGGAGGGAGAAGGGGAGGGAAGGGAGAGAGAAAGGGGGAAGAGAGGGGAAGACAGGAGAAGAAAGGAGGGGAGGGAAGGGAGGAGAGGGGAAGGGAAGGGAGGGGAGGGAAAGGTAGGAAGAGGATAAAGTGGAGGAGGAGGGGAGAGTTCGCTAGTCTACCTTTGAAAATATGGAAAATGAACTTCTTTTGCTTATATAATAATACCCTTTCCTACCTACACAAGTTACATAATATATACTGCTTTAGTTTTACTGCTTTGAAAATGTATATAGTTTTAGTCTGCTTGCAAGAAACTAAAATTTGTTATCAAGCCTAGAAATGTAAAACAAATTATTCTTGAGAGCAGGTGATTTGGAAGAATTTATTAATATTTTACATGGGCAACATCATTCAAAATAATATATTTCCACCTAAAACAAATCCATACCACATTTATCTCAATAACAATTTCAAAAAAATAAAAAAATCACTGATTGATGTATCTTATAAACCCCTTATCACCTTCAAAAGGCCCTGAAGAGAGGGAAATTAAAAGTCTTTCTCACTTCATCCATTAAAATAAGCACCTGACAGGTCAGAAATTTAAATATAAAAATATAAGGATAAAAGAATATCATGAGAATGCTTTTATGATTTCACAGTGAGACAGTTCTAAGTATAACCTCATGAAGCCCTAAAACTAATGCATCACTGTAATCCCCACATTGGGAGGCTGAGACAGGAGGATCACAAGGTCAAGCCCAATTTGGGAAACTTAAGAATTTAGTGACACCCCGTTTCAAAACATAAAAGGGGGGTAAGAATGTAGCTCAGTATGAAGACCCTCGTAGCTCAATCCCCAATACTACAAAGCAAACAAAAAACAAAAAAGCTGATATATCTTACTATATAAAAATTTTTTAATCTTCCACAATGACAATAAAAATATTATGAGCAAAGTCAAAATGCAAATTGCGAGAAAGCAAAAATATCACAATGGGATAAATTTTTTAAATGTGTAAAGAGTTCCTACAAATCTCTAAGATCCAATTACTCAAAAGATAAACTTGTAAAAAATATAAGAAAAATAACTGGAGAAAAATACAAAAGTGCCTAGAACATATGAAAAACCAACCTCACTCATAACAGAAATATGAATACACACACACACACACACACACACACACACACAGCTTTTTTAAAAAAAACAGCCAAATAAGCAAAATTTTTAAAAGGTTTTAACACACTGGATGAAGACATGGGAAAATAAATATGTATCCGTGTGGGTAGGAGTTGAAACTGACACAACTGCTATGTAGGAGACTTGGCAAAGTCCATCAAAATACCAAGTGCACATCTGCTTAGCCCTGCAGTCTTCTTTTCTAGGAAACTACCTGAACTTCATAGGTAGATGTAAGAGATAAACAGAAGCATTCATTGTACTACACTCTGTAAGAGCAAAATAAGAACCAAAATGGCAAAAACAACCTAACTTGCTCATGAACATAATTTAATTACTGAATATCCTTAGAATAGAATGACAAGGTGAAGCTGTGGTGTTGATCATGGTATGGACTAAGCCCTAAAGACATACTACGAAGGTAAAGAAGGAGATAAAAGTAAAGGATGTGAGGTGTGCTGCTGTTCACATTTCCAAAGAGAAGGAGAAACACGTGAGCACAGTGGCTCAGTATTTCCATGTCATCAAGAATGGTGCTGTCTCCACAAAGGAAAACAAACAAATGGGAAAGACAAATAAAAGGAAGAAAGTTTTCCACTATATTGTATATATGTAAACCTTGCAAAAAAAAGATTGCAAATGTATTTATGTTCCTCAGCAAAGAATCGAATTTTTAAATATTACTTCACTAAAAATCTACATCTTGTTTTTATTCTAAACAATACTAACTCCTTCAATGTGCTTTCATGAATACTGTTCACCTTTTCTTTTGATTCTTTCTTCTTCTGTTTCATTATCATAGCCAGGTCACCTCACTTCTGCAAGCCCTTCCAAGGCAAAAAAGTGAAGTATGAGAGTTATGTTTGTGCAAAACACTAACAGAAAGTCTGGTTTACATAAGACTGATCTGGAAATTGTCTTTTCAGGTGCTGCTGCCACTTTCTTATCCATCCCCATATACCTGTTTCTTCTGCACAATATGCAGGATATAACTACAAACTATGCAGATCTAGACTTCTCACAGCCTTGACTTTGCTATCAGAAATTTTAAAAACTGTTAGATCTAGTTGATTCTCACCTCCTCTCCTTCATGGCACAAAGAAGCTGAAAGAAAGGGAAATGCCTAATCACATGACAGCAGGTGGAGAACATACCTGTCAATAGTTCAAGAATCCCAAGTTAAAACTATTTTCAAGAGTAATGTGGTTTTAAAGTGGCTTGTTTCTCTAGCAGCAGCAATAATACTAAAGTAGTAGTAACAATGGCAAATCCAGAGCATTTACTTTACATGGCAGGCAAGCACTGTGCTGAGCCCTTACAAAATGCCCACATAATTCTTACAACCACCTTATGAGACAGCAGCCATCACAATCCTCATATTACAGGTGAAGAAACCAAAGCTTAGTGCAATCACTTCTCCAGGGCTATTCAGCTCGTAAGTTTACATTAAAAATACTTTTCCAAACCTCAGGCTCAAATCTTACCACCATAAAATGGGTGTTTCTGTGGAAAGAACATATCGTTTTCATTTTGAGGAATGCGAAATGCAGGAATAGATGCTGCCAACTTACATTCAATTCTACATCCCATTTTTCAGGTATCTACCTATGTAGCTAGACATAGTTAACATTAGGGTTACTACTGAGGGCTCCAGACAGGTCACACAGCAAAGCAGCAGCTGAAGAATAGAATCAAGGCCTCTATACTCTCAGTTCAGCATTCATCTTCTCCATAATACTTTAACAATTTTTCTCAAAATTGTTCAACACAGTACATGGTATATAGTAATGTCTCCTTAGCTAGGCCCTGTACTTTTTCCACAGAGCACTTCACAGCTATGACTCTAAATACAAGTACTGTATACCAAATATACTCCTCAGAAATGCAATGTTTGGATGTGAATATGTGATAAGTGTGGTGTGTGTATACAATTGTAGTAGAAAAAAATTACACAATAATCTTAAAGATCTCAAATGATTGAAGATGTTCCTACAAAGTATACAAAGCACAATATACAATGTACAAATATCACCTTCTGTTAAGAATAGTATATTTACACTACTTAATCATTCTACGTGTTACACTATGTATGCCTTTGTTTTTGTAACAATCTTCTCTGTAGGTATGCCCTACATTGGAATAGTTATCTTTAAAAGAACACTGTCCTTCCTTATTACCGAATAATCATGCATTCTTGATCATTATGCATGAATATTTGCTTTAATTCATAGTTATATCTGAAAGACAGTTCTTATGCATGTCATGAAGATAGCAAAACTTAAGTAATATAATTAATTTTACTTGATCCTCTGTTGATCCCCTTAAGCATAACAGAAAAGGTCTTCCTGACTAGAAAATGGAATATTTTGTGTTCCATAGATTTGGCTCTATTGAATACACATATATTCAAAGAGAGACATAACTTTGTATTGCTAAAAAGGCTAAATGAAAAAAAAAATTTAATGGCTATCCTTGCAACATATCATCCTCTTGGAAGATGTACAGGCTTAAAAATGTTCAATTTCTAAAAGCTATTTATAAAATTGGGAAAAATTAGTTTTCCACAGAAATGGAAATATCTTGACATCTAACACACTTGAACTCAAAACCCAACTATGTCATTTACAAATAACCTAATCTCTAATGTAATCTCTAATGTAGGAAACATAGTAAAATATAAGGTTAATATATGGATGAAAAATTGCACAGTATAGGTAAGGTCCTCAACTAACGACAGGTGTAATTGTCACTGAAACCATAAAATCATTTCATTATTGAGACTACATACAAAAATTTAGAAATAAAACACTTTGTAAGTATTTTGCTTTTAAAAATCTTAATAATGTAATTTCTATCACTGTTTACGAGAGTAATACTCTAATGAATAAAAATCCCAACTAAGTTAATAGGTTATTGTCTTCTTATTACAATCTCTTCCATAACTGTGAAGGATAAC